TCATACAGATAGATAGATAGATACATAGACAGACAGACAGACAGATAGATAGATAGATAGATAGATAGATAGATAGATAGATAGATAGATAGATAGATAGATAGATAGATAGATAGATAGATAGATAGATAGATAGATAGATAGATAGATAGATAGATAGATAGATAGATAGATAGATAGATAGATAGATAGATAGATAGATAGATAGATAGATAGATAGATAGATAGATAGATAGATAGATAGATAGATAGATAGATAGATAGATAGATAGATAGATAGATAGATAGATAGATAGATAGATAGATAGATAGATAGATAGATAGATAGATAGATAGATAGATAGATAGATAGATAGATAGATAGATAGATAGATAGATAGATAGATAGATAGATAGATAGATAGATAGATAGATAGATAGATAGACAGACAGACAGACAGACAGATAGACAGATAGATTAGATAGTCAGACAGACAGACAGATCAGGTGTATTTTAGTGACTAACACACTTGTATAATTGGCTGATAGCTGAATCAGCCAATCAGCGTCTTCCCGCTGCTTCTTCCAGTGCGTCACCGCGTCGCGTCCAATCGTGTGCTCTGGAGAGACGCGTCGCGCTGCGCTGGACCCCGCGCTGAGAGTCAGTCCGCCCGCGACGCGCTGCGGAACGGGAGTCTGCTGAAGCTGAGGACGCATCCGCAGGTAAGAGCGGCGCGTTTACTGACGCTGCGTGTGTGTGAGAGACGCGCGGTGCTCTGTGAGGAGGAGGAGGAGGAGGAGGAGGAAGATGATGCTGAGACACACATGCACCGCAATGCAGACGCGCGTGTTTAGCGTTGATTTCTGTCATGAGTCCGTCGCGCTGGTTCCTTCTGTCGTGCGCGTTGTTTTCCTGACGCGCGTCTCATCGCTCCTAGAAAAGGCGTTTATGGAGATGCTTGACGCGTCAGACAGCGATGTTTGCGTGCATCTCCGAGTGTTTTCAGAGCAGGGCGTGTAGAGAGAAGGGCGATATATGATGTGTAGATTATAACATCATCATCTATAACCTGTAGGTGTGTGTGTGTGTGTGTCTGTGTGTGTGTGTGTGTGTGTGAGTTACTGGAGACACGTGCCTCCGCAGGTTTTTCGGTGACACTTCAGTGACCATCATCTACGCACCCGCAAGTAAAAAAAAATTTAATTCAAGTTAAATCTTTTTCAAATAAATAAATATCGTAAACTCTGTATAACATTATACATTTAAGAAGATCTTAAGATCTTTTTTATAAAATGATATAGGTATTTATTTTTAAAAATCGATTTAAGGAAACTGTACATGAGACCAGAGTTCGAAACCTTGCACACTAAATGCAAATCAGACCATTAGGCAAACAATTTTACAATTGTTAAATGAGTGTGTGTGTATATGTGTGTGTGTGTGTGTGTGTGATAGACACACTCCTGATGCAGGCAAGCAGCACATCTAGAAAACACCTGCTGTCTGCTCACATTAGTGACATGCTTTTATAGCTTGATTTTGATCATATTTTGAATTTTATATTTTCTCTTCTCACTTTAATTTTAGTTAAAGTTTTTGTGATTTTATTTTTATTCGTTTTTTGTTTTATTTAAACATTTCTGTGTAGTTTTCTTATTTATTACGCTGAAAAAATGTACAATCTTCACTTTGAAGAGATTGCTAGTACATTTCACTAATAATTAAAAAAAGAAACGGCAAGTAACATGTTGAATATACCGGGAAAGTTTGAAGAGAAAGACTGAAATAGTATTTTCTTGTAAAATATGCTGCAGTATTATTATTTTGAATTGTATTTATTTCTGTACAGCTTAGAAGAACAGTGTGGTCTTAGTTTATTTATTTAGTTATTTTAGTATCTCAAGCTAAACTAAACAAAACAAGAAATGCTGTCTTGGCAACTAGCTGCAATAAAATACATTTCTTTCATTTTAAGTAATGTTTTATTTTAATAACCTTGTGCAATAATTACCTAATTCATTTTTCTAATACAGCAGCCAATGGCAAGTCTCCAGCAGCAGACCTTTCAATATTTCTATTTCCTTAGCCGTTGTGTTTATTAAAGTGATACGCAGTTTGTGTGTAGCGAGCTGTATATGATCTCAGTGTTGCAGGTGTATGAGCTGTATCTCAGAATGAGGTAAATGTAGCGCTGATCGTGTGTTTGTCAAACAAAACGCTGTGGATGCAAGAAAAGGCTTTGACCCGAGTCTGGAGACACCACTTATGATCAATCTGAATAATGTATGAATGTGGGTTGTGGAGATTCTCTGATGATGTTGTGTGGTGGAGGCTAATGGTTTAGGACTAGTTTAGGAATGTCCCGGTGGTGTTTAATCCCAGTCTGTTCTGTGGGTTAATCAGCTTCCACATGAAGGATCCTGATGTTCTGGCCTGTCCTTGTGTCTGTGATCTCAGTCTTTCCTCGGGGCAGACGTCTCGTCTCTAGATGTGTGTTTGACCCGGTTTACCCATCAGCCTCAGGACGGATCAGACGTGATGGACCAGCTTCATTAGCAGCGTCAGATCGTTCTATCGCTGCGCTCGAGTCAAGTCAGACAGATGCAAACTCTTGAGTTGAGTCTCAGTGACTAAAATGATTTTCATTTACAATAAAAATAGCTAAATTGCATGTGGGTCAAAGAGACGAAAAAGGGTTTTCAAGCATCAAAACAATAAGTGTAATACAGCTTTGAATGGTTGTTTTCACAAAGTGTCCTGTTTAAATGTTTTCTTTTCCTGCAAAAAAAAAAATATATATATATATATAACTATAATACTATATAATAACTATAATACTTGTCACGATCCCATTTTAGTCATTTGTCAGCAATAATTTTTTACTCATTTGAAATGCAATAAAATGTAGTATGCTCGCTTATTCTTTTATGCATGTTAATATGTACAGGTCAGAATAAGTTTGCTGAAGCGTTACACTGAATGACAATGAAACATTATTTCACCCACATTTTAACATTGTATTCTCCCAAAACGTATTTGAAAGCTTAAAAGTAGACACTTTACTTGCATTCAGTGTGCTTTCTATGCATATATGTAATCACTTTTGTGAAATATCTTTTGATGCGGACATTTAAATGCCTTTGACTCGTGTACAAAACACCATAGTATTGTAGAATATGCAACGATTCAGTTTACAGCACCGTCATGAATTTAATAAACGCAACGCAGAACATGATTTGTGCAGAAATGGTACATCGCACTCTTGCTCTGACGCATCTGATGTGATCTTGAGTATGAGCTTGAACTGGAGCTTGTGAACGTCTCTGTAGACTCGGATGAAGTCGTGTGACTCTTGATGATTTATGATTTCAGCGTTTGTAATATTCATAGTTGTGTTGCATAAACAGACACAGAACTCAGAGTGAACTCTCTTGGATTTCCCCCCGTTTTTGGTTGTTATTTTCTATGGATTCAGTTATAAATCATCAAAACGTGTAAATCAGTTGAAAATGTAACATTCTCTTTACAGCAGACTTTGCATTTATTTTTGAATGTATTTATTTTTGTTTTGTCCAAATGCAGCACAACTGTTTATTTTTTTTTAAATAATGGTTTATTCTAAATAGTAATATGTTTCTGTTGCATTTCCTTTAAAAGCTGTCTTTCTGCATTGCAAATGAGATTTCATTTCATACGTAAGCAAATGTTTTAATATGGGCAAGTTTTACTTGAACTCTCTCGCTGAGAAAGCAGCTTTGCAGCATGTGTGGGCCTGCTTTCTCTTCACTCGCTCAGAAGCACTGGCACAGCATTAGTGCTCTTGGTACAAATGTTGGTAAAGCAAACTTCTATTGTCATCATCATCATCAGTGAGATTATTTACACGATGATAAGAGAACAAACACACATGCGCTGCAGATTCAGCGGTAACTTCTACCGCTCTGTGAGATGACAGATGAGTTA